AGAATTCCATTAGTTTTACTAACCTATCCCAATTATCCGAGAAGTCTAGAACACAAGCTCTTAGCATGTCCTCCAGTGTCTGTAGGGTCCTTTCCAACTATCTATCCTTTTGGGGGTGGAAGGCGATACTTAATTTCAGATCAGTCCCCATAATATCTTGGTACGTAGGTCGATCAAAATCTAGACGTAAATTTACGATCCCAATTCGACACTACTTTCGCAATTCATTTTTAGACTAGATATCACATTCTCTCCCCCTTTAAAGGTTTCGTCCTCGAAACCTAAAAGACATAAACATTAAAATAAGTTAACAAAATTTTCAATGTTCTTGCAAAACATCTTGGGATTATTCTTATAATGTCTAAATTGGATTTCCTTATTTAATTCCATCAACCTTCTGCTGCGCACTCTTATTTTTCTCAATACATTCCATCTTCATATTTATATAGCTTAAATGAACATAATATCTCTCACAAATCCGGCGTTCTAAATATCAGCTTATAATGCTCTATAAATATCAACCTATAAAAAAGATACCAGAGACACTAACAGTACCATTTCTTCTTTTGTCACACATTTTATCACAACTTACTTATCCACTATCACAAAATAATCCTTATCTCGATATATGGGTTCCTGTCCACTGTATTTGTAATTGGTGATGGAAATCCCTTATTTCCCTCAAATTTCATATCTATCTCATTTCAAATTCCAAAGAGATCAATAATACCTCAAATAGCATCACTCCTATTTTCAGATCTTATAACCTAAGTTATTATACCACTAAATGCCATGGGAATCTTATTTCCTTTGGTCATTTTTTTTTCCTAGCTCAATTCAATTTTCAAAAATATTAATATCTCAAATATCATTTCACAAACTTTTTGATGATACAAAAATATAGAAAATTTTATACAAAAAATACCAAATTCTCATATAGGAAATTAATAACTTTATCATAACCTTGGTAAAGTATTATCTGTGCATAGAATTTCAAACTCACACAAGTTTAGAAAACTGAAAGTGTTTTGAAATACATAAGTCAACTAACTATACTTCTTTCAGCATTAGAATTTAGAGTACAAAGAGAATTTGTCAAGAATTATTGTTAAATTTTTTTATACGATAAGAATTTTTCTAAAGCTCTTTTTGAGATTGGATGAGTATATAAAAAAATATTTTGCACAGGATTATAGAATATAATTATTTAATGTATTTATTCTTTTTTTTCTTATAGATATATACATATATATTTAGAAACTATACTTACCAAGCAACTGCAAGGTAAAGGTACATATTTAAAAATTCTGATTAAAAACTATTTGTGCAAATAAAATTTTGGTTTCACCATTTACTCATTTTTAGGTAAAAAGTATGTAAAATTATATATTGTAAGGAATTTATGAATTTGTTTGCCTGATCATGATGTAATAATACTTGAACTAATAATATCAACTAGTTTAATAAATGTCTTAAGCATTAGATCTAATTATCATAAACCTCAAATAAGTCAACAAAATTTCAAGATCCAACATGTATTGCATATGTACTTTAATTCCTTGGTACTTTCAATTTCCTGCAAACAATACTTCAAATATATATAATATTTCCTACACATCCGACATCTTAAACTTAAAATGTACAATCAAAATCATATCCAATAAAAGAACATCATAAACAACTATAGTACCATTTCAACTTAAATCACATATGCAAATTTTCAAGCCTATTTATTCAGTCACAATTGATCATTTCCTAGTGTGTATTTCCTCTAAAGAGTAAATCGTAACCCAGACTCTATTATCACTAAATATTGTGGAAATCCCTTATTTCATAGCCTTCTATCCAACTTCATTCCAATTCCTAAAAACACTAATATTACAAACATTATTTAACATACTTCTAGATCACATAACCTAAATTTCGATAACATTAAAAATCACAAGAATCTCTATTGCCTTAATCTTTTTTTTTTCTCATTTCAATCCTCAAAATCCCTAATATCACAAGCAACATTTCACATACCTCCAAAGCATATAATCTAAGCTCTGATACCACTAAAAATGTCACGCCCTGAGCCCGCACGTGCCCGTCACATGACATCCGCCGTACTCCTAAGTCCCCACTCAGGAATACAAGGCTACATTAACTAATTAACTTTGATAGTACTAAATAATTTAACTAAATAAAGTGCGGTACGAATTACATATAAAAGGAAGTCTACGAATAATCAAGACGTTCGTACATTTATTCTCCAATAGAAACAACGGAAACAAAGGTAAATAAGACCAACAACTGGACGTAGCCAGCCTGCCAACTTCTATTCATCTAAGACTAATAAAAGTCATCCTCAGGGTCTTCTACGTAAATCAATTCATACTCTTCAGAATCTGCAAAAATGGTAAGAAGTGGGTTGAGCGACACATCGCTCAGTAGGTAATATTTACCCCTCTGTTGGACCATGCACTCTTAATTTTTACAAATACATATATATAGATAGAAATTAAATCCTTTGCATGTCGATCACATCCATAATTTTGAAAGTAACATCGTTTATAAAATGATCAGTAGTAACAAGTGGCAAGTAATTTAAAAGCATCTTATTGATAGTTGTACATGAGAAATCGTAAAGTCATAAATCATTTCGTCTCAAGTCACAAATCTCTTCATATCCATTCGTAAATCAACTCATATCAGTTCATAAGTCTCATTTCAAATCAGTTCATAAATCATTCCGTCAAATCAGCTCATAACAAGTACATGCAATGACCGACTACTGAGTACTCAGCCTGATTAGACCCCTTCTAGGTGGGCGACCAATAGATTTCATAACTATCGATTGATTTCATTTCATTCTTGGGTCTATCGGCCGGACTTTATACCAGGCTACCATGACCTTACCAATCGACCGGACTTTATACCAGGCTACCATAGCGATTAGACAGGACTATAGCCCCTACCGTCTATTCCATGACTGCTCTGAGCTTTACTTGTTAAAATTTATTTCATGTATCATATACATAAATCTTTGTTTTCATAAAAGATTCAGCTCATTTGTATATAAGAACATATCAAAACATTTCAAATAAGTCACATGGTCCATTTTGTATAGTAAATTATAACTTTCATAAATACACAAGTAAAGCATTTAATCAAACACTTTTCGAGTCAACACCACAATATAGGATTGAAAACAAGAATTTCATTTTTTGCACATTTGAAATCTCAGAAGTGTAATTACCACCTACCTTTGTTTAGCTGTTCGAGTGGAACTACCTTAGGTCCTTGTACCGTACCTATCAAATGCATGAGTTCCCTAATTAGTTATTACTTCCTATAGGTGCATAAATATACAAACTCTGAGTAAGTACAAGATTCATATCTAGACCATTATATGGACCCTAATAGCATTTCCCTCAAATTGGATGATTTCTATTTTTGGAAAGTTTCCTAATTTAACAGAAAATAATTATTCATAAGCATGCTTATTATCTTGACTACTATCTTACTATATCAATTTATAATTTATAATTATTTCTTATTATTATTATCGTTATTATTGGCATTATCATCCACATTATTATTTACCGCTATGATTATTATCATTAGTGTTATTATTCGTACTATTATTAGCATTATTATTATTATTATTAATATTTTAAGCATTTCATTTAACAATTTAGAACTTATCTTACCTTGTCTAATTTGGCTTAATACGGCTAAATTACGGTGTTTTGGATTTCCATTTGAGTATCTTACACGTAATTAACTAAGTATAATTTTACATGACTAACCCTCAATTCTAACAATTATATTAAATTGGCTCCTAACTTTTAATATTCACGATACACTATAAAAATGGGCTAGTAATATTTAAATTTTATTTATTAAACACTTACTAAATTTTATACTATAGTTTGGCCCAAACTTCAATTGCTTCCCTTGTTATTTATTTATTTTTATTTATTACCATTTTTTTTTCGGGTGGGACTTGGCCAACCATGTATGACCATGGTCGCCAGACTCTCTGGCGACCCAATTCCTCAATTGGTTGGCCAAGAGGGCAACCGTGTTCTTTGTTCCATTGTCGCCAGCAAGAGGGCAACCGTGCTCTTTGTTCCATTGTCGCCAGCACTTGCTGGCGACGTCCCTCCTTGATTTTTTTTTTTTTTTGGCCGAAAGGCCAACCTTGAAATTCCTTCCTTTGCTATCAGCGGCGGCGGCCCTACTTAACAAAAGAGAGCAGCGGCTCCTCCCTTCCCCTTCTTTTTTTTTTTAACAGATTCAATCACCCTATAATCTCCAGATTAAAATCAATCCCCCTATTGCTATTAACCCAGATACGAATCTTATCAAAACATGTCCACAAAATTCCTAGAACAATTAATACAATTACTAAACTTAAAAGAGCAGTTTTCTTGCGTGAACTCGAGACTTACGGGTTTAGGTGCCTAGTCGTCGGATCGATTGACGGTGTCGCCTGCTTCTCCTTCTCTCCTCTCTGACGGCTCTTGCTCTAGGGAGGCAGACAATGAAAGGTAGGAAATAGGTTATTATTATTATTATTTTCTTTGTTGTTTTGATAAGTATGCTAAACCCTAATAACCACCCACTAGTAGGTAGTTTAGATAGGAGTTTTAACTATGGTGAACTTTCACCCTATTTTATCTCATCTTACCCCTTAATTAACCATTTAAGCTAACTTGCAATTATTTTTGCTTTTACCCATAATAAATTACCATTTAATTAAATTGGGCAAAATAAAATGAGCCCAAAAATCATGGGTTTTACAGTATTTGAAGTGGTAATATTTTTGCTTTCAATTTGAGGGAACAAATTATTCTTATTAGAGTATTTTCTTCTTCAATGATTCTATATATACATGAAAAACAAGAAGCAAACACTAAGATTTTTTAGTTCATATGTTTGAAAAGACGGATAATTAGGTATAGACAAACAAGTTGCTCTAATAGGGCGCATTATTTTTTCCACATATCTGGTTGGGTGAAGACATATAGAAGTTAGCCTTGATGAAAAAAAGTTCTTCAATTATTATCATGCAAAATTTGCATGTTGCTTTATACTACATTTACCACAAATGTAATGTGAACTGTATGCGAGCCATCAAATAATAGTATAGCCCCATAATTGTAACCCTTTGAGGCATATTTGCTGTCAAATGAGACTTTGAGAAGTAATTTCTTCACACTTGTTGTAAAACTAAGTTTCTTTGGAATCACCTTGACCGTCAGACCAGGTGGAGCTCGTAACGAAGAGAAAAATGTAGCATTTGGTGGACCAACATTAGTCACAATTCTTTTGACTCTTTTTGCACCTTGGGATCTGTCAAGTTCGCCAATTGATATGGAAGGATAATTGACGTTGGAGATAAGTTCTTTGGCAGAGTTTCTTGGGCAGCAAAAATTTCTATTTGACATTGATCTTATAGCTTTTTCTTTATAGCCATAGTAACAAAGGAACCGCAAATAATCTTTGGTAGTGGTCTCAAATACTAAACCAGGATGAAGAGCTCCAAGAGGGCTGATTTCCCCAACCCCCATTTCATGAGGATTTCCATTGTAATTTGAAGTATTTGTGATTGGTTTTCCCAAGTTGTTAGATGTAGTAGCTGCAATAAGAAAAATAAGTTAAAACTTTTGTTGAGCTGATAAAGAAAAAGTTACAATTCACGGCATGTAGACCAAAGTGACAGCAAAAAATTCGAAGGTTTCTTCCGTTTTCACCCTAAAACCATGACATGATAACATTTTTCCTTTGTCACTATTTTTAGGCATAATGCTCAAATGCTTTTATATTCTAGTGCTTTATTAACATTATAAATTAACTTAACCAAACTAAGACGATATTATTTGAATAATTAAGTCAATATTCAAGACACAATGCAAACGCATGAACAAGATGACGGACGATTAAAATTTTCGTTGGAACCTCAAAATTGTTTATTAGTATTTTATATGTCTTTTCATAGAAGTGCATGAAACAATTTAAAGTACTCCAATATTGTGATAGACGATATTCCAAACCGATGGAATGCATAAACTAATTAAAACTAGTGTATTTTGTGTGGACAAATTTTGATCAATTTATTTTGCTAAACTTAGACACAATACATAAAGACCATGTATTATTTTATTTGTATTTGAAACTCTTTTTGGAGTGCATAATGCATCATATAAATTTTTATGTACAACAACGCAAAATGAGAAGAATATAAGAAACAAAAAATATTAATAAGTATCATTTTTTTCTATGTCAGTGTTATGTTTGTCCTCTTGCAACTTATTTTATTTATCTTTCTTCTGGACCAATGTTCCTCCCAAATATGGTACAAGTATTCAAAACAATGCATGATAATATTAATGGACGACTTTTTTTTTTTTGAGTCATTATACCTGTAGTCATCAGAGCAGATTTGATCATTGAATAGCTCCAATTTGGGTGAATAGATTTAACAAATGCCATAGCCCCAGTAACATGTGGACAAGCCATTGATGTTCCAGATCTTATGCCAAACGACGATGGCTTCATTCCAGGAAGAAGGTCACCGATATTACTTTTTGGAATCATTGCTGCTAAAATTGCCACCCCTGGAGCTACAATATCAGGCTACAAATATATGTTTTCAAATTTTAATGTTAGTTTAAAAATGAACCAATAGTGATGTTGAAATTAAATGCCTGAATCAAACTTAAATTTGTACTTTTATGTGTTATATAACCTTAAGAATGTCTTCTGTCAGTGATCCAGGACCTCTTGAAGAGAAATCTGCAATAATTGGAGCTGGCTTAAAATTTGGAACTTCAAATGTTGGAAGTATCGTTGCTGTTGGATTCCTGTTTTAGAGAAAATTACTTGTGACCATCCAAATTACTTGCAGAATGACTAGGTTCTAATTATGTGGTAAGCATGGTCATTCTTCTATTGAATGTTTCTCAAATGTAGATTGGGTAGGTCCTAGATTGATCAAGATCTATGAGTGGAATAGCGCTAATGAGACTTGATCTTTTCCTCCATTTTGTTTCTACCTTGACATCTTCTTCTTCTTTTTAATCCTTTTTTCTTCTATATTTTTCCACACTCTTAATTTTTATTGTAAGTACTAAATTGCGAAACTTTTCATCAAATTGACATCTTTGATATAAAATGCAATGCGATGTGTGGTGTATTGGCCCGTTGAGATGTTATTCATTCTTGAGGTACTACAATGCATACTTTACATAAAGAAGTTAAATGGCTCGTGTAACTCCTGTAATATATGTATTTTTCCTTTCCAGTGTTTACTTCCGAGTTTTACAATATATAGAGGAATTTTAAAAAGTTGATCATATATAGGTCCATCTTACAAATATTAAAAGAAGGTTAGTGTAAATGTGAGATCTTAACCCAGGACTTCTCGGTTTCATTCCCTTCTTACGTACCATCCAATCCATCCCTCTTCAATAAAATAATCATTGATAATAAGCAATACATATACTTTATCTACCTTGTGAATAAGCTATGATGATTTGTGAAGCAAGCCACTTACTATGAGTAAGTATCTAAAAGTTTTAATTACATGCCTTTGGGTAACCATGGGCATAAGTTGCAATTAAAAATAATGAGACAATAGGATAAAAACAAGAAAAAAATACTAAATTTAAAGATTAGTTAAATCTAATGTAATTACCAATTTAAATAATAAAATCAATGCTTAAAAAATGTTGCACGTAACAATGAAAACTAAAAGCATAAATGCTATATCAAGTAATTTTTTCTTTCAAAAATTATATTTACATTGAAAGAATAAACTTGCTTTCGTTTAATACTCTTCCACTTTTTCCCACCTTCTAATAAAAGTCAATTGACGTCATCATATAATTTGAATTTTGCTCATGGAAACTATTCATAGAATGCCATTCAAACAGAACTTAAATAAATGTTAGTAGTATACTATTTTAGAAAGAAGTATTTTCTAATTAATAAGAGATTACAATACGTAGTTGCACTACTTTTTTAATTAATAGTTAAAATATGTGTGCATGGGTCTATGTAGGTTTGGATTTTAAGTCTGAATTATTGAAAACAAAACTCTACTCTGATCCATAAAGAACTCTTAAAGGGTCTCTGTCTGGTTAGGTGTGATTAGTTTGAAAAAAATTAGATTAAGACTCATGGAAATAATGATGGGTCTAGTTTGGATTTGACCCACTATGTAACAGTTAAACTAAAATTATTGTACAAGTATATTGTTTATATAAATTGTGGAATACTTGTATAAATTTTAATCTTATTAAACTTGTGTGTCAATTTTCATTCCACAAAATAAATGGAGTCTTTTGGAATTTAACCAAAAAACATTTTATTCATAAAAGATGGACAAGTTATTCCAAAAGCATTTAGTTAAATGCATATTTTATTTTAAAAAAATATAGATTCAATTAAACAACGAATCCACACATCAAATTAAAAATGATAAACAAGTTGAAGATACTAAAACATGACGAAATTACATAAATTATGTTAAATAGTCAAAATGTTTACAAGGTGTAAGTTTTGATGTATACCTATATACTTAGCTATGTAGAGTTAAGATTATTGAGAAAAAATGAAATTGCAACTTATGATGAAGTAAAGAAGAAGGACCGGGAACGACTAGTTAATTGCTGGCAACTTGCATTAGCAATCGGCTGTAATACAAATATTGGTCTTAAAGAGATAAATTGACTGAATTTCAAAATTTTTTATCAATTACATTACTGGTAATGAATCAGCCAGTTTTTTTTTTTTTTTTTTTCAGCAATGGTAGTTTTTGTATTGATAGACAAAAGGATATACACTTATATGAGCAAAAGCTCAAGTAGTACTATACAAGAGTGTTAGACACACTGAGAATTGATCCATTCCTCATTTTGAAATATGCCTAAGGCATAACCACTAATCAAATCACATCTGGAGTCTAATCTCCTATCTAAACAAAAGGAGCATTTCTGAAATAGAGCTCTTAAATTGAATCAGCCAGTTCACCTTAATCTATTTGGTTCTACGGTTTAATAAATAAATTGCCCAGCCTTTTTTGAATCTCCCCAAAATAGAACGATTTCCTAAGCTTTAGCAAGTTTGAGGACAAGAAAGCAAACTGATGGATGATTTAACCCACAGCCGGTCATTCTATTCGATTTAAATTTAAAAATGTATACTAGATAATTTTTTCTAACAGGGGAGAGGTGGAGGTGAAATTTAAGAAGTAAGAAAGGAATAGCCACTAAACAAAGCCTTCTCGGCAAAATTGAAAGCTACTCTTGAATTAAAATAAATGACTTCACATGGATTTAGAGAGGAAAGTGTTACTCTTACTTGGTTGAATTTAGATAGTTGAGAATTGGAGATCCTGACAGCTTCCCAACTTCTGTAAATGGAAATATGCCGGAATCAAGTAGTGAACTTCTTTTTTCCTCATCAATTAATATCAAACCCTTAGCTTTTGCATCTTCTACTACCAGCTTCTTGATCATCCTTGATATTGTTGGGTTATCATTCAAACAAATCACTATTTTTCCAGCAACTTTTATTCTATCTAACGACCCTGGAGCACAATTCCTGTACATGAAACAAAAGTGTTGTACGAGAAGTGCAGACATAGTTGCAATCCAGAAAAATTCAGGAGATACACTTTTACTATTATTCGTATATTAAACAATTACATGAGTTGGAAGAAGAGAAACAAACTTTTGCATGAATTCACACAAGTTTGGCTATGTAGAGATGGATTATCGGACCCGTAAACTCTTTCTTTGCTAAAAGAAACGGAGAAATGCAGATTTAATTCTAATATTTGGTCTGCCTGTGTATTATATTAGTCCCTAATGTTTCAATCAAGTCAAATGTGGTTTCTAAGTTTCTAAGTTTGGATAGATTTATGACAATTGATGAAAATTCAACAATTCATAACTTTCATAGTCGAATTTCCATTAGTTAGCAGTTTTAACTTTACACTTTTAGTCCCTAGTAGTTTTTAATCATTATAATCCCTTAAATTCCAAATATTGATGTTGAGGATTTTAGAATGAAATTATAATACTATATGCAAATTAAGTTGATCATTCAACAATAGGGACCAGTTTCGCATGCAGGCCAAATATTGGGGAGAAAAACAACATTCTCCCTAAAAGAAAAGTTGAATGGCTTTACAAGTAGTTAAATAACTGTATAATGTTTCTTCTATTCATTATACTAACAATTCCATTTTAGTTCATTAAGACAAAATGACAAGATAAACAAGTTCAAACGGAGGGAACCTTAATTGGTAGGGATAATTTGTCCATAAAAGTTAAGGGCTTAAATGCACCAAAAATTGCTTAATTAAAACAAAAATGAAAGCAAAAGAGTGTCAGGATAAGTTCTATTCTAGTTGTACAATTCCTAACGCAGCGTACAGGCTCATCAAACAGTCCCCACTCACACTAATTGTACTTGTTTTTCACACAGTTTTCAACCGCTGCTCTTCCAAAAAAGGAAAAAGAAAAAATTCAACAATGGTCTAATTCGAACTTTAGTTGTTCCTTCGCAATTTTGGGCTTATTTATGTTTAAGCATTTTAAGAAGTCAAGATTCATACAGGTTCAGATCCCCGTCTCTGCTTCTAAAGTTCCACCCATCCTCACTGGAAAATTTTTTTTTTTTTTTAAAAAAAGTCAACATGTCATGCGATGGACAAATAGAAAAGTTGTATTAGAAAACCAAGGATTACCTTGCATCTGATGGAGAGACAAAGCGAGCTGCAACATTTTCTCCAAATGCAAGAGGATAAGCTTTTGATGAGTTCAGAGGCGAGAAATTAATTGCAGTCCCCTATTTTACATTGTTTGGAACAACAAAGATAAAATTCTAGATTTTGTGAAAGCAGGCTCAATTGTAAATCTATAAGCATATAGTCATATATATACACAACATGTGTTGCAGCAGCCAAATACATTCACAGGCACAACCAATATAATTTAATTATGTCAAATTCCAATGTGATACTTTAGTCTAAACACGATGACAAATAACCAAATCTCATCTTAGTATTTCCAGACAGGAAATTAAACAGTATAAAACATAAACCTTTAAAATGAGTAAATCGCTAAACTCGGTGGAAGTCCAGCATTATATTCGAATATGGATGGACACCCATTAAGAGAGGTCTCAAGTGTTGAAACTAATTTAGAGAAGTGTTTAAATGCTGGATTGTAATAAATGTCATATGTGATGCATTAAATTGATAAGTTAGCAAAATCTAAGTGTACTAACAAGTGTCCTCAACACTGGCTAGAAAAATCCTTCAAATATAATTTGTAGCATATTGCATCCCATATTGCTTAGTTGTTAATATTCAAAGTAAACATGTAAACAAAAAGAAACACAGTAAACAAGTAATTAATAACTTCATTTAAGCATTTTGGACTTGTAATTTATATTCAAAAGTTGCTGAATAGGCCACAATGTCCCAGACATTAGATGCTTGATTTATGGCTCTAGTAAATAAACCAAAATTTCAGATTTTCCTGGACATTGTAGACTTGGGATATGAAATAACGAAGAAACCATTCCAGACTGGTAAGTATGACAAACATAACATTAAACACGAAGTGAATCATACTCCTAATTGATGTGGTAGTCTTTATTTGAACCTTAATCGAGTAGCTAAGAATGAGGTCTCAGGATTTAGAGATCCTACATCCTAATCCCTCTTCCCCCTTCTCGCAGTTTAAATTCCATCCCTTCCCTATTAGGAAAAAAGAAAAGACAGCACAAATTTCTTAATTTATATATACCTGATAGGATCTTTTGTTTCCAAGAATCACAATGGACTGCAAATCACGGTCGACAGTAGATGCTGCCACAGTGAACAGCCATGGAGCTGAATTAACAACGGTATAAGGTTCAGGCCCTTCATTTCCAGCTGAGCATATGACCATTGCTCCTTTCTCTGCAGCATGGAAAGCTCCAATGGCTATTGGATCACTCAGAAAATCAGGCTGAAAAACTGAACTCTGACCGATCGAAATTGATATGATGTCCACCCCATCACTGAGGGCATCTTCGATTGCTTTGAGGATGGTGGAACCGCTACAACCATCTGTTGAGCAGGCCTTGTATGCAGCTATTCTAGCCGAGGGTACTCCACCCTTTGCTTTGCCCCTTGCAAGGCCATAATAACTGGCATTAGCAACTGCTGCTCCAGCTACTATTGATGCAGTGTGAGTCCCGTGGCCTACTGCATCTCTTGGTGAGCCTTGACGCTTATTTGGTTTATTACCAAGAGGTTTGGTAGAAAGATCAAAATCGTCATAGAATCTGGCGCCTATTATTTTCCTAAAACATGTGTGATGACCAGAAGTTAGATTACAAGAAGGATATGACCCTATAGTGAATTGCACCTTCAACACCAATTAGATCCCAAATTCAGGGGTAAAAAAGCCAGGTAGAATTGGTTTTATCACTTGCTATAAGCCTCTATCCAATATTCTTGCAAAGTTTTTAAATATTCACATAACCCTTTGTAGTTCTATATAAAGTGAAAATTTGATGGAAATAGTCTCCAAAACAGCATTAATTAAAATGCTCGTATTACCCTGATGTAAGCGCTAATTTAAGACCTCCCACTTAAAAAAAAAAAAAGAGAAAAATACACTTAATTAAATGGAAGTTTAATTACCTCTTTGTTTCAAAGCATAGGGGGATTCAATCGGAGAATATGTGGATAAATATAAAATTACAAATGGGTTAAGTGAATATTTATTTAAAATGAAAGATGAATTTAGTGGATATTTTAATGTCATCACACGCACTTTTGGAGCATGTCTCGATCAATCACCATAACCAGAGATGCTTTCCATCTATTTTCTATTTTACATAAAATCATAGCGAGATTATGTGAATATTTTAAAACATCAAAGAGCCATGTGGTATTATACAAAAATAAGGGAGTAATGAGTCATTTACAGTGCTATTTTGTCTTTAGTCTTGTAAATTTGGTTCTAAATTCTCATGCTACAGCCAGGAACAGTAACTTTCACTCCCCCCTTAAGATTTGACTAAAGTCTATACTCATACTGTACGTTTAAATATAAGGCATATTATCTAATTTTAATTGTTTTGGCTATATATATACATATGTATGTATGTACATATTTGAATGAAGAAAATAAGAATGCAATCCTTTTGTCAAGTTATATAAACTAAAAGGATGATGAAATTACTTTGCCGAATACAGAGTTTAGTAATACTTTCTAAGCTTGGCAACTGGGGATGGAAAGGGTGTGGGGAGGGGAGGATGGGTAAAATAAAATAAAATTTAATAACACTTTGTGTTTACAAAAGTTTACTGACTTTATGTATTGTTGTTACTCGCATCAAAGTCTGATGAGAAGAAGAAACGAAAAAGAGTAGAGAAAAATTAAGTCCAACATGGACAAGAAAATTTTCTAAGGATTCTGTTAAAGAAAATATTTTCTTATTTTCTATCAATGTCATTATTTGTATAATCTCATTAAAGTTTAATAGAAAGGAAAAAGAAGATAAAAGTGCACATTAAACTAAAAATGAATAAGGTGAATTTTTATGAAAAATAAATAAAAAATATTTTTCTTTTTATCAATTTAATACATGTGTACAACAAGATTGTTGATCATGGTATATACTTTTGATGGAAAGTAATAACAAGAAGATGCATTCAATTCTCAGCCACACATTCCAGTGTGCGGTTATGTCTTTCCTTCTTTATTTGTTTATTTTATTAGGTAGATAAAGATTATAGCTTTACTCCTTATTGACAGAAAACGTGTCAGTAGAATTTAATTAATTTGATCAACACATAATATCGGGATTTATATTCTTTGCAACATACTGGAACACAATATAACCTTGAATAAAGATTGGCAAAAGCTACACTTCATGCTTTTCCCTGAAAAAAGCCATCCAAAATCACTTGAGTGCAAAAGTTTGCCTTATTTTTCAACTGGGGAGAGGGCTAACTAGCATAAACTTAACCATATTGGGGGAAAATGAAAATTATCCTACTTAGGTTTTGTGCTTTTGACCACCTAAAACCAAAGTGAAAAGTTCAAAATGTAGTGGACAATTTTAAAATTGGGGATCTAATTGGCAACACTGCTGATAGTTTAGGGGCTATTGCAATTATTTACCCATGGACCAAAAAGGGAAAATAAAATAATGAACCAAAATTTTGAATGCAAAACCAGCCTTACTTTTGGGAAAGAAGATCACTACCTATTACAGTTGGACTTCTTAAAATTAGGTCCTTCCATGCATTCTCCTTTCCACCTTGACGGGATCTTGCCAACACCCCTGTCACTGAAACTGGGCAACTCTGGCCATATACCTGAAATTACACAATCAGACAGAAAGATTCATTTCCAGGATAAAGATTTTACACAAATTATGTCGACAATATACAAATTGATATAAATTTTGTAGTTTCGTTTTGAGGATATATATGACCTAATTTTTCTCCTTTTACTTCTTAACAAAGTAAACAAAAGTACATCTAGATTGTGTATTTTACAGAGTTACCAATTTCAAACAAAATTTTATCTAACAAACAGTAAAAATAAGTTACATGTCAAAAATAAATTTTTTTGGTCCGAAACATAATGTTGGAGCACTCTCTACCTCAAAAGGTTACCATAAATTGGGGGAAACATGTAAATAGACAAAAAAAAAAAAAAAAATTCCACAAAAAGAAAGGAGTATACGTACCACATACTACTATTTGTCTGTTCAAATTTTGGAAACTTGCATTTGGATGGGAATATGTCATTTTCTGGAAGAAAAATAGTGCATTTCTATCTTACACCTCAGTTCATTAAGTGCATGCCTTTCATGCCAAAATCCAAATTTAACATAAAATTTGCCGATTTTATCATTTTGAATGTGACCGAGTAAAAGCATAAATTAAAAATATAAAGGACCAGTGGTGCAACTCTTAAAAATACCGAAATGATAATCAACATGAATGTCATTCAACTTATAACAAAATTATGTTAACCATTGATTGCATCTTTTCGTTTTCTTTAAATTTTTTTTAGTAGGGGAGGAGTTGGAATTCGGAAGCGGTGAGGGGTAGGGAAGTTAGAATTTAGGATGTCACATGACTCACATCCTAGGGAATATGATTGCAATCGTGCAATGTTTTGTAGCCTATCCCTGTAATTTGGACTGTATTTGAGCTACATAAAAGCATCATATAAATTAAAAAATAAACCCAAAGCCCAAGACTTGTGGTCTACTTTTCCTCTTCTAATTAATAAAGAGTCTAAACTAAACCAACTTTCCTTCTAACTGTTTCGCAGTTTTGTAAACACCTCACAATTGTCTTAGTGTACAATTTTTCAAGGGGCCATCGTCATACAAATCCTGTACTTCATTTCCTTTAATTTTGAAAATTAAAAGCTTCATAGTAACGAGTTAGAGGTTAATTTCGATCAAGGTTTTTCTTTTCTTCCTTTTTTTCAAGTTTTTACCATTTTAAAAGCTTCATTTTCTCTTTCTGATTTCAGACGAGCTAAATACAAGGCAAAAAGTTGTCATCAGGCATGAAGATGCATGATTTTAGAATGAAGAAATGGATATATATACCTGTGTCTATGACTCCAACAATAATATCACTTGATATCTGATCAAGATGATAGTTCAATCTGATTTTGGACTGTTGTTCCAAGAAATCCCAAGAACGTGTCGTATGGAGTTTTAGAACGGGATCAGGAAATACGCTTACCACCTTTGAGTGAGCTGTTTTTCAATTAGTCATTAGATAATAACCATGCAAGTATAATACTATGGTAGATTATAACCAAATTTCACAAGAAGAAAGTATAAATAAAATAATAAATAAGTAAATGAAAAATATCTTATTAATAAAATTGAGGCTGGCATGTCCTCCTCATCTACAGGATTTGCTAGAAAAAAAGAAGGTTAGTTTTGCAAAATATTGCCTAAAATAGAAAAAGGATTAACTGCCAAAATAATATCACAAACATGACAAAACTGATAATCATCCCTTTTCAATAGAAAAACTGTAATTAACTCCTGGTTTATTAAATTCCCTTCCTCGTAATTGACTAAATATCCTTCATCACGTCATGATAAACTGCACTAAGCATCTTCTTGGCCTTTAATGCTAGTATAACATTTACCGGGCAACTCCATAAACACCATGGGATTCATTATCACGAGCACTGTAAGGCATATTTATGCACGCACTCTCAAGAACAAAATTTGGATATAATATGATAGTGGGAAACTTATGGGTGTGAATAAAAATATCGGTAACTACTTAATTAGAAAATTATTACCCGAAATAACCACTCACCCTTTGTCAGAGTACTAGTAGTTACTACTTACGAGTGACAAGTGGTGAATGATGGTGAAAGTTTTAACTCTTTGATCCGTTAAAGATAATTCAGTTAGTGGTTTACCAAACTAAGCTTTTTTGTGGTTAATTATTATACTCAGTCGGGTAATCTGATCTCATACTTTATCTAAAATTTCCAACAAATAGTTCAAATTTTCGACTTTCCTGAGGCGCTTGAAGAAAAGGTTACCAAGAAAGGAAAAGCCGGTGGACAAGTTGTAAAGCTCAAAATCGTGTAATTTCTTGTCTTCTATTATTTCAGCGATATCATTATTTATACGCCTCTTTTCCGGGGATGGGGCAGGAAAGGAGAGAGGGCAAAAAATACCCGACAATATAGAAGCTTCATCCTCGGTAAGCATTGCTGAAAATCCACTAAAAGAGTGTTGATATGAGTGTTGTATAGAAAGTCTGTCCCTCTCTTCTCTATAGAAAAGTATGTATGTAAAATTATGTACAGTTGATAACAACTTTCGAGTGAGATAAAAGCATAATTGGATTTAATTTTCGCCATTGTATGAGATCAAGAATAGTAAGCAACAAGAAGGATGAATATTGGAAGATTACCTTGGAATAATGGAGGACAACAATTGCAAATGGGACAACTTTGCTGCATCCGAATCCAATTTATTGTAATTTGAAGAACTCCCCATATAGACCACGTACGGCTGCCAAAAGAATAAGTTTTATGAAACGAGTCTCAAAAGCTGAGGTTTGAGGCCCTTAGGTCCAACAAAAATGTGCATTGAATTTGAACAATTCGGATTTATTTTACAATTGAAACGAGTTAGTAAGCTTCCAAACAAAATTGGTATTCATGATTAAATCAAAGCCATGCAAATGGAATTTGTGTTGTGGAACATAGCCATCAAATGTCAAGAATACGTTAATGCACACTGACCTGGGGTCTGGGATTTGATGCTGCAGAGAAGGTGAAGATGACAAGAGCTGTAGACAAAATATGGACGAATTGCAAGAGAGAAGCCATGGTGCCTTTTGTGCAATAGTCGTGCAAATTGACTACTGAGCAGTATAGGCAAAGTCTCAAATGAATGAGAATACTAACAACTCAGTCACCTTTATATGAGTAATTAGTTAATGATTGAAATGGGTAATTAGCTGGCAAGTCCTTTTGCAAATTCAGCTTGTAAGTTCAGAGAGTACATTTTCGAAACTTGGTATAAGGGATCATGGCGGAGATGGGATCCTAAACCTAAGGGAATCGAACTCCGATGTCACAAGAGTTGTAGTAATAGCAGAATTTAAAATCAATAAACATGTCTATCTTAAAAATTCATTTTTCTCTGCTAAATATGCTTTAAAATCTAAATCATGCTTAAAATTTAATTTTGAATAGGTCTAAAACTCTTAAAATTCAAAGGTGATTTAATATCTATGTTAAAATTCAAAGGTAAACATAGATTTTTAAATCTAAATCGTGCTTAAAATTTAATTTTGAATAGGTCTAAAACTCTTAAAATTCAAAGGTGATTTAATATCTATGTTAAGCACGATTTAGATTTTAAAATCTATGTTTACCTTTGGTAGGTCTAACACTCTTTGAAAAGAGCAATGATTATTAACTTCCAATTATTTAGAGGGACAATGTAAGATAGGGAAAAAAAAACTCTAAAAACTTTAGAGGGGACAAATAAGAAACAATTTTGAAATCTTCTAAACTTTGTAAACTTAAAACATAATTTTCTCAAAATTAATTGCGGCCCCTCAGCTACATGTGGTTCCGCCATTGCAAGGGATTGATTTCGTACCCTTGTATTTAAAATTTACACAATCCATACATTTACGCACAATCGATATTAAGTAGATCACGCAAGGCGTGAATTTTAGTACAACAGAATGTGTAATTTTATTAGTTTCTCTTTTAATTTAAAATTTGTTGCTATTGAAATTGTGCTATAAAAGTCATATAAGTCCGTTAGCAAGCAACGAAATGTAGAATAGCTGTTTTTTTTAACCCTCATATATATCCCTTTCTCCACCCTTCTTATTTTCAACTGTTAGATTCAGTATTTAAATCCTGAACCTGATAGTAAAAAGAACTCTAAGAACTCTCTTATGGTCACTAAAGTTAGATAAAATACAAAGCACCTAATTAAAAATGTTAACACCAACTCATCTTAAAAAAAATACAGAACAGCTAATTAAAAATGTTGAAACACGTTTTCAGTGTCTTAAAGCATATGTCTTGGCAACTTTTATTTGCCTTTGCCTTTGCCTTTGCTTCATGTACAAGGAAACCTTTATTGCAATTCTAATGTTGTCGGTGCTCACTATTTTGATAAAGTTTAGTTTACAATAATTAGTTAACCTTCCAATCATTTGCCAATTATAAAAGAACACAAAGTATAAAGAGGGTTGTAAAATATTCTATCTATTAGCATCAATTCAACAAAAATCTTGCTTTAGTTTTTTAAAACAAAGATAATCTTCTCCCTGCTGACTAAATGTGGATCCGCTTACGCCTACTGGTGTGGATTACAACTCAAAAGTTTTATGCATATATCCAGATTAAACAGGCAGAACTTACTTTCGCAGTACAGATTAAGTACAAGAAAAGTAATCCATGGAAAATAATAATAATCTCCCTGAGCTGCCCATTGCTTTCGAAACATTTGGGACACCTTCTCTTGCTTTTCATGATTCTAATTAAAAATAGCTTTTTATACATTTTTAGAATAGAAAGAACGTTCGTGTAGAAACTTGAGGGGAGCATATTGTATAAACAAATACTTGTCAATGTTGTTATAATTTAAGGGATGCACATATAATTAGAAAGAAACATATTAATAATTAGATTAATTTCATGGATTACAAGAGATCGAGGTACTCGTAATCATGACAGACCCATAACAGAAAGTAGTATGTCGTTTATACTTCTCTTTTTCTGGCCCAAGTAGTAAGTCATCTGGAAATTTAACTGGATAGTCTTGAGAGCTAGTTTTGAAGGTTCAAGATATATCTATATATGTACGGTTTTTACTAGTTGTGAGAACACTGTAATTTTACGAGGAATTCTACTTTAGTTTTAAGCTAATTCCTTTTTCCTTTCCTTTATGCTATGTTCACAAGGGATTAAGTGCGCAACGGATCTTCTGTCCCACATCCTGTGCCACTCTCTGTCTCACTTTTTATTATATTGCTATTTCTCCTTCACAAACATCATATTTTAATTCCTTTTTATTTCCTTATGATCCAATAACTATTAATTGAATAAAAAATAAATACAACAGTTTCAAAAAACTAATATATAATAGAAAATTAAAAAATACAGCAGAAAATTCATAAAAAATCTCATTTTTTATGCATTTTGATTTTTTGAGTTTGTTAAATTTTGTGTATTACTCAATTAATAGTTATTGGATCATAAGAAAATAAAAAGGAATTAAAACTTGATATTTGTGAAGGAGAAATAGCAATATAATAAAAAGTGGGACAGAGAGTGGCACAGGATGTGGGACAGAAGATCCGTTGCGGATTAAGTGTTACTATTGCAAGAGCAACTGTCTATGGCCCACATTGGCCAAATGATCTTGATTCCATATAGATTGTCGATTAAAAATTAAATGAACGGTTCAAATTGAATCGAAATTATTTGGCCAATCTGCATCGTTAATCTCATGCTCGGCTTGCTAATTCAACCGCGTAGAGCCTGTATTTGTTCACGCGTTCTTGAAGGCAGAAGTCATAGAGTACTTTTAATTATTGCCTTGACCTCCAAATGTTAAGCCGGCAGGTAACTTATTTTGTTTTTCATTTATTTTATTTTATTTTACTTCTTTTAATTTTGTTAGGGGGCCTAGAGTAACTTATTCATTTGTCATGATGAACCACTGATATGTGTTGTAGCGTAGTAAGCTTTACCCATGGCCTTGATCCACCTCGGCAAGTATACGGAGGCTCTCGTTAGAGATTGTAGTAAATATCCTTAAATTATGGATAGCGATTGCAATGCAATTTGTACCAAGTAATATATAAATATAAGTCACCGAACTCAAACAGGACCAGCCAGGTAATTTGTCCAACCAGTAACTCGTACTTGGATCCTTGAACTCACTAGCTGAAAAATGAAAATCACAAGCGAACAAATCAATGAAATGGTAAAAATAGATAGCACGGGTTGTTGGGCCTTTTTTTAAAAATTTTTGTTTTTCTAACAGGAATGAATGGGGTTTAAGAAATATGTAGGGGAAGGTGAATTAGACCTCAAAATCTTTACTTTATGAAATTCTCTACCTCAAACACTAGACTAAGGATCTTTTGGTTCAATTAATATTTCTTTATTTTTTTATTTTTTTAAGTTGTACAAAATTAATAGTCTATTACCAAACCAATTAGAAAACAAATCCAAGGTCCCTTTCCTATTAGAAATTGGAAGAAGCTATGCACATGCATACTGATGTCAAATGTTAAATGTTACTACCCAAAAAAAAAAAAAAAAGTGTTAATTGATGACTTGTCGATACTGAAAGGTCCATCAATCGCGGAAACCTTGGAAACCTGCACATAAGACCAAAAAAGGAGGGAATGGGAAGCAGCCCAAGGCCACCTGATGTTTAAGTTAAAAAGAGTTCTAAGGAAAGGGAAGGAGGCTGAGGCTGGCCACCCCTATGCTTAATTTTATAGAGCGTAAACAAGTTATCGCAAAGAAAGAACCAGAAAATTCACTTTGAGTGATCGAATTTTAATATATTTAAACTTAAATGTATAACACAAAATATTTTTGTATTTTGCGGAGACAAAAGTCTAAACTTATAAGGGTAGATTCCACTTTGCACTCTAACTTTATTCAAATTCGGATTTTGATCTTTAAACTTCAAATAGGACATTTTAGTTCTTAAAATATAAAGTTTGTTCTATTTAAGTAAATTATGACCCACTTTAGCCCATAAAACATAACTTATGTTCCACTTTAGTCTTTAAAGTTTAAATCGGTCACATTATAATTGATATTATACTTTGAGGACTAAAGTTTGACATATTTTGTTTAAGCCGGACAAATATTATAAATTTAGGGACTAAAATGTCTAATTTGAAGTTTAGGAATCAAAGTGAGAAATTGGCTATAATTGAATGATACAAAATGAAATTAACTCAACTTGTAAAGAACATTTTTAAAAATTTTCACTTTTCTAAGAGAGGAAAACATAATTTTTGTAAAACTTGGGGGGCGGTGGTCCGTCCTCCCCTCCAGTTCTGTCCATGGTTTCTTGTCCAGGTACCTATTGGTTATAGAGGTGGTTTAAAGTAAATATTTGTCATAGTTTTTCACTCTACAACGTTAGCGTTCGCTCAATAATCGTCTAGCATTTGAACGAGTTTCTGCCACCAGGAATAAAATTTTACTGTCTACTACTAAAAAAAATTGTCATTGATGTTCTTTGTTCCGTTGATTTCTAGTGTAATGGGCCTTTGACCCTCCAAGAACCAAAAAAAAAAAAAAAAAGCATTTCCATTTTCATTATTTCATAACATTTCACTTCCTATTTTGCCGTCAATTGCTAGCTGATTTTTTTTTTTTTTTGGGTGAGCTCTTTAGCAAATGATAGATACATTGCGTGCTTCATGGTTATTTGTATCACAGCCTCCAAACTAAAGTTTGCTCGGATTTACTTTATACCAACAAAAAGCAAAGGAACATTAAATCTTGTTTAGCACTAAAGTAATGTACCATTCATCTTTACAGGGTAACAAAAAAAAAAGTAAGAAGTTTTGCAGTGCTTTAGTCCTTTGTTTTGGGGGTTCTTAATTCCATAGTAGCCGGAGGAGGAATACTCTTTGCCCAGTGTTCTGGTCGTTAAAGGTTATGGAATTAAGGACATCTTTTTTTTTTTCATCAATGAATGGACTTCTTTTGTAGAGCTCTAGCGAGATAAGTTGATACACGCTGTAGAGGATATGGGGCAGGGACGGTCATCAAAAGGATCATTCCTGAATGGTTCCCTCACAAACTCTAATAAGAGGCCCTCATGCATCCACGTTGATAGAGATAAAATGCTCCAGTTTTACTTAGTGAGCATGAAACAAAAATTTTTTAAAAAAAACTTGCCTTAGCCTAATAGATTCCGCTACCGTCAAAACTCCGTTCCAAAAAAAATCCCGCCCAAATTGATTGGGCATGACT